AACGAGGACTTCCAGAACAGCTTCAGAAAGTGGCAAAAATGATGGGAGGAGTGTGATCAAAGCTAAGTGGAATATTTTGAAGGAAACTGATAGCAATGTGTCTTTTACTCTAATGAATTTTTTTAAAAATTTAAACATTCACTGTATATTTTGATTATCCCATATACATTTATTGTTAAGTTTTTACTGCCAACCTATAATTTCTATTTGAAATATTATTGTTTGAAATATAGGAAAAGATATGAAGTTCAGCATGGCTAATATTGCAAAGCTTATATAGTCAAGAAATAAATCAAATAGCCTTCCTATACACGAACAACAGACTCACTGAAAGAGGAACTGGAGAAACACCTCCCTTCATAATAGCATCTAAATAAATGAAATACCTAGAAATTAACCTAACCTAAAGAAAGAAATCAAAGACCTCTACTCTGAAAACTATAGCACTCTGAAAAAACAGATCGAAGAGGATATCAGAAAATGGAAAGACATCCCTTGCTCCTGGGTAGGAAGAACCAATATAGTGAAAATGGCCATACTTCCAAAACTGCTATATAAATTCAATGCAATCCCAATTGAAATTCCAGCAGCATACTTCAAGGAACTTGAGAAAACAATACAAAAATTCATTTGGAACAAGAAGAGACCTAGAATAGCAAAAGCAATTCTAGGCAATAAAGACAAGGTAGGGGGTACCACAATCCCCAAACTGAAACTATACTACAAAGCTATTGTGACAAAAACAGCATGGTACTGGCAAAGAAACAGACCTGAGGACCAGTGGAATAGACTAGAAGATGCAGAAACAACTCCAGACATACTCAGCCATCTCATCTTCGATAAAGGAGCCAAACACCCTCACTGGTGGAAAGATAGCCTCTTTAATAAACGGTGCTGGAAAAATTGGGTTTCACCTTGCCAAAGATTAAAACTAGACCTATAGGGCCAGGGATTTAGCTCAGTGGTTTCGCTGCCTGCTGTGCAAGCGCAAGGACCCAAGTTCAATTCCCAGGACCAAAAAAATAACCAAATAGACCTATTAGACCTATATCTTTCATCATGCACTAAAGTAAAATAAAAATGGATTAAAGATCTAAATATTAAAACAGAAACGCTAAACCAGCTGGAACAGAGCTTAGGTAGAGCTCTTGAAGACATCGGCATAGGAAAAGATTTCATTAACAAAACCTCAGTCACACATGAACTAGCATAAAGAATCAACAAGTGGGATCTCTTATTAAAAAGCTTCTGCACAGGTCTGGGGATTTAGCTCAGTGGCACTGCTCCTTGTGCCTCGCAAGCACAAAATCCTGAGTTCAATCTCTAGTAGCACAAAAAAGAAAAAAAAAGAAAAGCTTCTGCACAGCAAGAGAAACCACCAACAGCGTGAAGAGACAACCCACAAAATGGGAAAAAATTTTTACCAGCTGTTCCTCAGACAAAGGTCTACTATCTCGAATCTATAAACAACTAAAAAAAATCAGATCTCCCAAATTTAAAGACCCAATCCAAAAATGGGCGTCTGGAATGAACAAGCATTTCTCAGACAAAGAAGTAGAAATAGCAAATAAATACATGAAAAAATGTTCAACATCACTGGTCATTCGAGAGATGCAAATGAAAACAATGCTGAGATTCCAACTCACTCCAGAAAGAATGGCTGCTATCATGAAATCAACCAACAAATGCTGGCGGGGCTGTGGGGAAAGAGGAACACTGCTCCACTGCTGGTGGGAGTGTAGACTGGTGCAGCCACTGTGGAAATCAGTAAGGAGATACCTCAAAGAACTAGGACTGGAGGTCCCATTTGACCCAGCTATTTCCCTGCTGGGTATCTTCCCCAAAGAATTGAAAGAATCATACCACAGTGATATATGTGCACCCATGTTCATAGCAGCACAGTTTGTGATAGCTAAAACCTGGAAACAGCCCAAGTGCCCATCAACTGGAGATTGGATAAAGAAAATGTGTTTTTTTTAATAAAATGGAGTACTACTCACCCATAAAGAATGAGAAATTAGAGACATGTATAGCTAAATGGATGCACATTGAGGTGATACTGTTAAGTGAAAGAAATAGGACACACATGTGTAAATAGCAAATAGTTTCTCTGGTGTGAGAAACTGAAAGTGTAAATAAGGATCAAAAGTTATAATATATAATGTGAAATAGGAAGAAAAGGGGCAAAAGGGAAGGGGAAGTGGGAGGGGTAGCCAAAAGGAAAGAAGGGATGGAATTAATGAGAGAAAATGAAAAAATGGAAACAAAGTCTTTGTAAATAGGGAGGGGGGGAGGGGTTAAAAGGAGGGCAGGGGAAGGGGGAAAAAATAAGAATCAAGAGAGATTATGTAAAGGTGCAAATTTCCAATGATGAATGTCATTATATTGTATACCTAAAATATACCAATAAAATAAAATTATTTTTTAAAAAGAAGGAAAGAAATCAGAAATCATATTTTTAAAATTTTATAAGTAGAATAGCAAATAAAAATAGATTTCAGATTTCCTATTGTGATAGGCATCCTTCTTTGAGTAGGGAATAATATAACCAAATTATCCAATAGCTCAATTTTGGAACTATAAAGAAGAACAACAAATCCCTGAAAGAGTAGAGTATACTCTTAAACTAAATAAGCAGGAGGCAGGCTGGGGATTTACTCAGTGGCTGTCACCTGCCTTGCAAGAGCAAGGTCCTGAGTTCAATTCCCGGCACCAAAAGAAAAAGGAGGAGACCATTAATATAAGGCTGTTATCACTTTTCTGAGTTCCTAGTGACAAACTGTAACTTAACAGTACATAACAAACTGAAACCTAATTTAGGAGTTTATGTTTTATAGTAAGTAGCCAAGCTCCAGCCAGTCAAAGGCGGCCAACTGATCACAGCAGGATAAATGCATCAGCACTTGCCGAAATAAGGCAGATGCTCAGTGGTAGCCTTTAGGTAATTTCTCTACTTTGCTTCCTTTTGTTGTTTCTACTTCTGGGCAGAATTCTCTGAATCCTTTCTGACAAGTCAGATCAAAGGGTAATGCTACATAGAAAGAGACACCTATTTTTTAAGCTAATAGAGTAACTAAATCAACCACAAAATCTGGATGTATGCTCAACAAAACAGGCAGTTTCCCTGCCTGCTTTTCTGAGACTGCAATTACTTCTGCTTCTGTTATTCTGCTTTGTAAAAATCTGCTTTGTAAAAATCAGTCATTATTACACATTCAGAGGTACGGTAAACTGGAAATAAATTGTTCACTTTAGGCTCTATATTAGCTAAATAGTTAAGTTTGTAGGCAGACAAAGGTACACGTCTTGTGGCTACCCCAGATGACAATGTGGATATTGCAGCTGAAAAGACATAGTCTTTTAACTTACTAAGATTTAATATTGTCACAATATTTTCACAGAGCATGAACATTTCATGTTTTACATATACAGTGGTAACATGGTTCACAAATTTAATTCATTCTACAATTTCGGAAAAGATGGCCATGTTTGTTTTTGTGTAGGAAAGATGGCTGTGATTGTGTCTGTCACCCTATGCAGAATTTGCAAAAAAAAAAAAAAAGCAAAATTTTGCCAAACGATTCCATTTACAAATCAAATTGTTTGCAAACAAAAGCATTCATGAACCAAGGTACCACTGTAAAGTACATCAAATATTACTATAAATTTTCAATCCTAATTTTTCAATCATAAGTTAGAAATAAAAATAAAATATCCTCTATTACCGTGACATAAAAGTATAATGAAATATACTCTAATATTCAAAAATTCCATAAGAGTACATAAAAGAACTAGATTACAATACATGGAATATTTGAAGTCAACACTTTGAATTACATGAAGAAACATGACTTAGAAGTTGAAGAGTACTACTGCTTTATTCTGCGAATGATTTGCTCGCTTCTAATAATCAATGAAACAAGGAAATGCACTAAAGTCCCTATCAATTCTTTCAGCAATAAAAGGCCAAATTTATTTTGAATTCTATTTTTGATAAACAGCAAAGGCGTTGTCCGCGCTTCAGAAACATCCCTTAGAGCCAGGGATTTAGCTCAGTGGTGCCACCGCCTGCCTCAAAAGTGCAAGGTCCTGAGTTCAATCCCCAGTACAAAAAAAATCCCTTAGATAAATGTATACTGACTCCCTGCAAAAGGCACCCTACGAAGCACAAATGTGAGTATGCTCTGTCAGAGAAATCTAAACACACGGACTCATAAAAAGAGAAAGAAAATGTGGGGGGGGACAGAAAGAAGGGGAAAAGAAAGAAGGGAAGGGAGTGAAAGAGATACAAGGAGGGGGGAGGAACAAAACAGAAGAGGATAGGAGGGAAGGACATTAGGGAAAAAAGATTAGCTGGAAACAGAAAAATATAGTGAAAACAAATGATTATGATGTAAAGTGACTACAAATGAAAGGAAAGTGATGACAATCTATTAATATCAAAACACCTAAGAGAATATTTTGTAGCTCATTCAACACTGAGTCACTATACCTAAATAACAGTCCTGAACAGTACGACAAAGAAATAGGAAAAGGATCTGTGGCTCATGGGTGAAGTGATCATATATTCTATACTTTCTACAAATTAGCTTCATTGAGAATGAACAGTCTTTCAGGCCACAAAGAACAAGTGTGTATCGTTCATCCTTTCATGAATTGACATTTAATGTTTTCCTGACAAAGAGCAAAATTAATTCTAGGCAAATAAAACACCAAAGCTAGAATTTAAAAATCATTAGACACAAGCTCCTAGATGTCGCTGAAGAACTGGCTGGTACAGTAATACTGCATAAGAATCTCTCAGATATTTTACTTCCCCAGGGTGCCTTGGCTTCAAAAATGTTGACATATTTTGTTTTAATGTAACCTTACCAAAGTAATCCTAAATCTACCCTCGTTCTGGTAAATTTGGAAGAATAACGGAGACTACACCGTGGATTGTCACATCTTTTGGGACAAGTGAACTTGTAATTAGTTGGAAAAAAAAGTATTACACTTACTCATACCACTGTTTATTGTGTTTTCGGTAAAGCAACGTATCCAAGGCAACAGCACTGGCATCCAGAGCTCCTGGGGAAGGCCACTGGTTGGTGAGGTGGGCAGTTAACTCTTGTCTTGATCTTAAATCATTATTCTTTAACACAGTCCTGTGAATATTAAGATGGTGAGTGCTTTTTTTCTTCACTGTTCTAAAATGGCAGAGGAACCTAATGGTATCAATTTAGGCCCCCCAAAGTAATAGTGTAAAAATGGTATGTCAATAGGCTCTGAACAAGCTACAGCAAAGCTGGCTGAACTAGCACTATTTTTTCTTATGAAATCTGTGCCTTTCATTCTTTCTGCACTGGATACAACAGATTGCTACGTTGAAACTCGGACTTCCTATTGGTTCCATAGAGAGTATTTCTAAAGACTACAGATTTCAAGCAGCATTTTACATTTCAACTAAAAACCAGTGGTGATATCCTGAAGATACAGGCTATTGAATGGCTGTTTAACAGTAAAGATAAAAACATTGTGGTTTTTTAGTTACAAAATTTAGAAACAACCTATACAAGTAGTGAAACTTAAGAAAACAAAAAGCAATTAAAATGAAATGTTTAAAAAGAAGTGCAGAAGAATATTAAAAAATCCATAGGATTCCCATGACTGTTTCTGACAGAAACGATCACTAATAAATCTTTATGAAGATGATTAAATCAATGACAATGCACTGAAGAATATAATCCACTGGAAATGTTTCAACTATAGAATAGGGCCATTCTAACAATTCATGGTTTTAATTTTTATAGAACTGCTACTTGTTAGCTTTGCGCAGTGGCAGTATCGTAGCCAGTGAGGTTTATCTGAGGCGCGATTATTGCTAATAGAACTGCTACTTGTTAATTAGCAGTATTTTGCCAACAGACTGTCATGAAATTAACTCAACATCTGATTTGATCATTAAAGAAAATTTTTTAAAGTTTATAAAAATTTTTTTAGTTTATTAGTACATGTGTGCAATATATAATGTTTACATTCCTTGTGGGAAGTTGTTATATGTAAGAACAAAACCATAACAAAAACAAAGCTCTTGATACTTCTCAAATGCTCTAGATGAAGTATGAGGTGCTGGCAGTATAATCCTTTCCAAAAGAAAATCAGCCTGTATGCCATTTTATTAATGATGATTCTCATGGTCCCACATTTACATGTCTCTAACAGGCTGCAGGCAAATACTTTTAATTTGACATAGTATCTATGTATGTTAAAATATTTCTCCCAGGGACTAAAATGCATAACACATATTGGGAAATGGGAAGAAAATGTTCCAAAGGGAAGGGGAACATGGGAGGGGGGAAGGGAAAAGGAAGGAAGGGACAAGAAAAAAAAATAGAAGGAAAAAAATGGAAACAGGGAAGAAGGGTTTAAGGGAGGGGAGGGGAATAGTGGAAAAAACAGAATCAAGACACAGAATGGGGGAAGAAACAAGAACCAAGATGTATTATGTACAGGTAAAATTACTTTAATCATCTTTAAAATCTCAGCACCTAACACATGAGACAGTATTTCAAAGGTTTATCATTCTGGTGGGGTTTTTTTTAAGTTTTTTTTTTTTTTTGGTACCGGGGATCGAACTCAGGTCCTTGCGCTTGTGAGGCAGGCACCGGAACCACTGAGCTAAATCCCCGGCCCCAGGTTTATCATTCTAAAATAGAAATCTGACCCGATCCTTGCCATGGCCTATAGTCTTTCTCATCTGGCCACTGTCTACATGTCCAGCCCCAAGATACATACATTTGCCTTGCATGTATGAGTAATGAGACATCACCATGGAATCCCTGTATCTATTACACTCTTTAATGTCTCTGTTTTAGCTTATCTGTTTCCACTGTCTAGAAGACTCATCCTTTCCCACACACTCTTATCAAATGTCTAGATAAATTTAAAGAATTAGCACAGGCACTACCACCTCATGTCCTTCCTACTTCACTTTTTTTTTTTTTTTACTATGAAATCTTTTGTTCCCTACTACACACATTCAAGCTTCTATCATAGCACTTGTAACATCTCAATGTTCTTACTGTTTCTATGTCTAGGTCATCTGTAAGTATTTTGATGGCCAGAACTAGAACAAATTTATTTTTGTATTCCCAGAAAAGGGGCTCATGAGTCTCAGTAAAATAAACAAATGCTGAATTATAAAACAGTAAATTTTATTATCAAAATAAGCTGTGGTCATAGTTCTGTATCTGAAAGCCAACAGAGAACCTTATAGGAACCTTGAAAAATAATCTATTCTGAAAGGAAAGATAACAATATCAGATATATTCCATTGGAGTTATTGGAAATTAAATTTGTTGCTAAGATCAGCAAAAAAAATCTAGCTACCTTTCAATGTTCAGAGAAACAAACTATTGTTAGGAGCATAATAAATACCACTTTGCTGTGCTGGGTAACACAAGCAACTTGTAGTTAATAGTTTGCTACACTATCAGAATAACTAGGGAAGCATTTAAAAGTACTGATACCCAAGAGTCGTCCCAGATCAATGAAATGAGACTATGAAGGTGGGGACTAGGTAATTACATTTTTTTTTAATATTCTCTAAGCCAAACTAGTTTAACAAAACAAAATCCCATTTTTTTCCTTGTGAAATGACAAAATTACACATCTCTCTCTTTCTTCTTGGTCCCTTTTCCTTCCACTTACTCCTTAAATGTTGTCCTCAATGATTCCCACTACTCTGTTCTCAAAGTCTTTCTGTAAATACTGAATACTCTGGTTTAAAAAATGAGTCCAGATCATTATATTCACTCATTATTTAAAATGAAAGAGAAAAAGGATTTCCAGTTTGGTCTCTTTCCTTTCTTTTAGAAATTAAGCTCAGGTCTGTGTTTAAATAAATTTTTCACTGATGGTAATAGCCAACTCAAAGCTATTCTTTTTTTTTTATTCTTTATTTGTAGCTCCAGACTTAAGAATTATCTTATCTTCCTTATTTTGCTTCTTTTATATCTCATAAGCCATGCTGATGCTTATGATATAGGTCAGGTAGAGATACCCAGTAAAGAACACAGTGTAGGGCCGGGGATATAGCTCAGCGGTTCTGCCGCGTGCTTTGCAAGCACAAGGTCCCAGGTTCGATCCCCGGTACCAAAAACCAAAAACCAAAAACCAAAAAGAACACAGTGCCAGCCCAAATTTGGGGTTCTGGGTAGGACCCCTGGAGTAACTCTAAAGGAGAGACCGAGTCCCATTTATAGAGCTAGGTCTTTTACGGATAAGGAAAGGGGGTTAGGGTGATGGGCTTAGGTGGGGTGACACCGGGAGTGCATGAGACTGGAGGAGGGAGAATGGGGGAGTACAAGGCTACAGCAATGGGCACTGTGGCCTAGCAGGTGGGGCATGTGTGTGATGGCCTACAGAGTAGGCAATGTTCCTGGGCTCAGGTGCTGACCTGCAGGACACAGGAACGGGCTGTAGGTTGCTCTCAGAGCTTAGGAACTCAGGCAGCTGGTGAGGGGCAGACAGGCATCAGACCTATCCATGTACTCATATTTTCAGCTGTTGGATATATATTACAAGGCACACGATCTTTGGTACCAAGGAATTTAACTTCTGTGGGCCCAAGTATTCATACAAAATCCCAAAGTTTCACGACATGAAATCATTTTTAATTTTAATAAGGCAGTACATTTGAAGGACATGGGTCATAAGTAAGTATTAAGAGCGAGTCTACTAAAATTCCTAGCATCAACACTTGGTATGGTTTGAATGCGTCCTTTGAAAAGCATGTCCTGGAAACTTTCCAGTGCTGAGAGGTGGTATCTAATGGAAGTGGTTAGGCTATGGGGTTCCACATTCATGGATTAATAAGAGAGCTTGAGGATTCCAATTATATCTCTTGGCTATTCTTGCTCTCTTTTGCCATTTTGCCTTCCACTATGAGATGACACAGGATGCAGGCTCTTACCACATGCCTGCTGGCACCAACTTCTTTGCCTTCCTGCCCCCCAGAACTGTGAGCTAAACAAATGTCTGTTCTTTTTAAATTACCTGGTCTCAGGTATTATAAGTAGAAAATGAACTAGGACAGTATTATGGCAAACTTGTTATTTTCTACTTATCAGTTGTCTGATGTGCTATAATTCTTTTTAAAAAGATTTTTGTTTTTAAAATTTTACTGGTACATTTTAGATGTACATAATGATCACATTCATCATAGGGAATTTGTCCCTGTACATGATATATATTGCTTCTTTTTTCCCATTCTCCTCCCCTCAACCCCTCTTCTCTTCCTTATTTACAAAAACTTGGCTTCTATTTTTTTCCCTCTGTGCTATAATTCTTAAGCACATGAAACAATGAATAACTGTTAGGCTATAATGTTCAAGAAAATAAAGGATCTAACTACAATAATACAAAATTTTATGCTAATGGGAAGAAAGTCTAAGTAGAGAGTACTGAAGGTTAAGAAAGGGAAAATCATTAAAGCTGAAGGTTTAAACCCATGACTCCCTGAGGTATGACAGTAAAACAGATCCTGTTTCTTTCAACTACTTTGAAGGAGAAACAGAACCATCAGTCAGATGTCATCTGCTTATTGTTGGTCTCTGCTATATTTGAAGGTGGGGATCATTTCATCATTGCTGAGTCACCAGCACATGGAACGGGCCCTGCACATCATACATTCTCAATAAATATTTGTCAAATAAATGAAAGAATATTAAAGAAGTTTAAAAAGCAATTTAATACCGAGATAAGTAATGAAATTTTACTCTGTTCATTTAAGTTTTGTGCTTCTTTATTCAAAGTTCTGAGTTTTTTAATCCAAAAATGCTTAAATGGTTTGTGAATATCTTTTTTCATAATGTTTATACAAAAGCATTCTTCATTTGTGTGTCTACGTATTCTTTTTTAGTTTTAGACATGGTTATAAAATAAAGATTCATTTTACATAGGTTTGCAAGCATTTCTCTTCAAATAAATATTTTTTAAAATCCCCAAAAGGATCCAGGTATCCAAAAATTATTAGTTATTTATCTACTTACTTATAAAATATTTTTGCCCAAAAAGTTGAACTGATATCTAACCAAGACTTTAAAAGCAGTAGTGGTTTTCAGCCCTGGTTGCATTTTAGAATTTACCTTGACATTATTCTTTA